GTACAGATTACTAATGTAAACACTTTGGTAATTTAATTGCCTTTTCCAGAGTCATGGGAGATGACTGAACAGTAGAATTTAAATGATGATGAATGGCACTTGAGTTATGAATTAAGTCATCCATCACGTGGACAGATTTGGCAACTCAATGAGAATGGAGATGCCATGAAGTCTCTACTTAGTATTTGTAGAGACCTGCTTGGGTAAAATCTCCCCCCCCCAAAAAAAAAGCTGTTATGAAAGCATTCAATAGTAGATCATTCCTCAGAGACTTTCTACAACAAAAGAATTACTGAGATTGGCTCATATACCAACACCAACAGTTTGGCTACCTACTACATACCAAAGACTATGGCTGGCATTTGAGGGTACAGGAAACAAATACAAGCAGATACCAGCATATACGTGTGAAGGGTGGGAAAGCTCCACATTAGCTGATCCTCTGCATTGCTGAAGCTGAATAACTGGGATCTCATTTATTGTTTTGAGATGGGGCCCCCCTGTGTTATGCAGACTGAAACTTTTGGGTTCAAGTGATGCTGTCTCTGCCTCTTAAGTAGGAATGCACCATTCTACTCAGGTCACCCTTTGACTTTGTCGTGTACTCTGCTGTCCAACGACAATGCTGGATGGATGAGGTCTCATAACTGGTTCAAGGGCACACATCTCGAAAAAGGCTTCAGTGTCAAGCCTGGGCCCCACTGGAGTCCAGAACCAATGTGTTGTTTTCAATCTTAAAAAAATATGTATTGATGTTCTGCTTACATATATATCTGTTCATTAAATATGTGAGATAGACAGTTGTGCGCTACCATGTGGGTACTGGGAACTGAACCCAGGTCCTCCAGAACTAGTGTTAATATACCACAGTGAGGACCAGGGATGCTGTGTCCTTTTGTGGGTCTCTGATGTTTGTTGCTTGTATTATTTGTGTGCTTTGTCCTTAAATGAAAACAATGACTCATCCAAACTGGTCAGGGATGGATAGCAGTTCTGTTTATTTTACTCAGCCCACAGCACCTGTGTTAACTTTCAAAGGTAACCTATAATAAAAAGCAGTGATAAAAGCAACATAAAAACACACTTAAAAAGAACATGTATGTGTTTGCTGCTTCTGGCAAGAAAACACATTGATTTTTTTTTTTTTTTTTTTGGTTTTACGAGACAGGGTTTCTCTGTATTGTTTTGGAGGCTGTCGGTTCAGCCCCGCCTCGAACTCACAGAGATCCACCTGCCTCTGCCTCCCCAGTGCTGGGATTAAAGGCGTGCGCCACCATCTCCCGGCCACATTGATTCTTGTTAACTGAAAAAAACAACAAAAAAGTTTCTTAAGGATTAATAACCAAAGCTAATTTTCAAATACCTCTCTCTCTCTCTCTTATAGTGAGTCTCACTGAATATCCTAGGTTGGCTTCAGATTTTTTATAGCCCAGGCTAGCCTTGAACTCAAAATCCTTTCATTTCCAAAATGATGAAATTAAATATGAGTTGCCTCACCCATTTCCAACAGTCCTCTAGAGATACTTTCTTTTCATGCTTAATGATGGCACTATCATTAGGGCAGAGATCTTCAAAAATTCACATGTGGATTTTCCCACAGCCTGACCCATTTGTGAGAACTAGTGTTTGCTGAGATAAACTAAAGGGCCTGTCACATTGCCAGCATTAGTTTTTGTTGGCTATAATAATTTAACATAGTACTTTGAAACACACATTTAAAAGGCCCCCATACTTCTCTGGGCCAGAGTCCAAATACTATGTGGGTGGGTTCCAGGGGTTCCTGCTTCAATCTGAGGCTGAAGTCAAGATGCCTGTTTTCCTTTCTGAAGACTCTTAGTTTTTGAGCTCATCTACACTGCCAGAGCTCAGCTCCACTGGATTGGATGACACGGTCCCTAATTCTTTGCTGCTGCTGGCAGGTGTCTTAGTCCAGAGGCTGCTTACACTCCTTTGCTCTCTGCCACTTCAGAGGCAGCAACAGTGAGTTGAATTGCTTTGTATCTCCACAACACCTATGCTTTCAAGGATCCATGTGCTTATAGTGACCCAGTCACAAAGTCTAGGATGATCTTCTTAAGGGTCTAAATTTGATCTGCAAAGCTCCTTTTACCACTGAATGGAATAAGTTCTGGGTGGGATGGTGTACATGGATACTTTTGGGCTGGAATTGCTTTCCACAGTGCTCATACTCTAAACATGAACATTTTAGTCAGATCTGGTGGCACAGGCCTTTAATCCCAGCTATTCTGGGGAGGTTGAGGCAGAGTGACTGCCTGATCAAGCCAGCCTTTGTGACTTAGTAAAAATCTGAAAATAAAAGGTAAAAAGGGCTTGGAAGGTAGTTTAGTGGTATAGCATTTAACATGCATAAAATCCTGAGCTCAGTACCCAACACCGCAAAACACAAAGCATGCATTTTAGAGTGGCTCTTCCCTACTTAATCCTTCCAGGTGTGTGCCTGCGCTGGAGATGTGAGTGATCTAAAACTTTTGAAATAAGTTACAGTATCCTCTCAGGTGACCGTTCCAGCTGCAGATTGAAAAAATAGAGAATCGTAAATAAAAAACTAAAAGTCAGGCATGGTGAGGCATGTATTTTAAACCTCTCATGTATTAGTAGGAGGCAGAGGCAAGAGAATCGTAGCCAGTTTGAGGCCAGCCTGTCTATTTGATGAGATTTTGCTTCAAAATAACAGTAAAGAGTGCCGAGATATAGCTCAGTGGTTGTGTGAGGCCTCCCGTTCAATCTTTACCACTAACCACCTCCCCTGTAATCCCAGCACTGGAGAAGCAGTAGCAGGTGGCCAACCTGATCTACATAATAAGTTCCAGGCCAGCCAGGGCTACATAGTGAGATGCTATCTCAAAACCAAAACTAAAATGTCAAATAAATAAAATTTACAAATTATCTAACTCACTCCCTGGTGGGATGAAATCAAGTGGGGGATGTAAAAATGTCTAAATTTCGCCTTCTACAGTCTATTCGTTGAATTTTTTGCTTACTGGATTTGAGCCTAGGGTGACCAGAATTAAGAATTGCTGAGCCTCTTAGGTGGTAGGGGTGGGACTGCTCTGATTGCATTGTCTCAGTGCTAGCTGCCTGTGTTCTAACACCAGAGAGTATAGAGCATTTCCTCACCCACAGAAACCGTTTTTTTTTTTTTAACAGTTTTTTTCTTTTAACGGGCCATTAGTGCAGTTATGTACCTGCAGAAATGTTTCTGGACATTGATCCAACAAATGCACAGAGGAAAATACTTTATGTTCTGGGTGCTCCAAACCTCATCCTATTTAACACCTGCAATCAAGGCTCTGAGAGGTTTCATTGCTCACTGTGAGCATGCAATTACTGCTGTCATTTATTCCCATGCCAGAAGCCAAATCGCACGAGTCTAATATTAGGATCCTCCACATTCTCCCCCGACGCCCGATCTTCTAGGTATTTCATGCTAGTTTGTACCCATCAATGTTGGGGGATACTATGCTAACATAGGTCAAACTGAGGCTCAGAGGGGTTAAGAGGAGTCAAGGAGTGACAGGATTTTAAATGTAGATTTGGCTGATACTAGGACTTGACCTCTCTCCAGGGTACTGCCTCTAAAATAACACTCAGGTGCACATTTTGATTTACAAGGCCCTTAAGTCTTTATCTACCACCGGATTACAATTCACCTGACAGTAATTCTACTGTAGACTGCAGGTGCACCCTCGGCAAATTCATAGCGGTATGAAAGCACAAGAGGAAATGGGTAATCGTCTAGGTCAGTCAATCGAGAAATAACCGTTTTACTGATATGAGTGTTTATTACTAAGCGCCAGTTGAGTCATTTAAGGGTGGACCAAAAGGGAAAGTTCTGCTTCTTGTCACCCACTAGAAGTGCAGTTGAGAAGTGTTTATGCAGGGGGAGGCCCAAAGTGGAAGCAGGGTAGTGGATTACCAACTCCGGATCCTTACCCTCACTGGACACCCGCCCCTAGCACCCAAAAGGCTAGGGACGGGTTAAAGGCGGCCAAGGGGGAATCCAGCCACCGCCCCTTCCCAGCAACACCTCCCAGAAACCATCAGGGCACCGCTAGTTCCCGAACCTCGCGAGACCCCGCCCCATCTCTTCCTGACCGACTTCCCGCCCCCTTCTTTACCGAGCTCGGAACGCAGCGGGGTACGGAAGAGAGTGGGCGGAAAACACGTTCCCGGAGCACGCCGGGAAGTGTGGTCCAACCACTTCAGGCAGCCATTTTCTTCCGGAGCGGGGGAGGCCGAGAAGCTAGTAAGGACTACAAATCCCAGCTACCCTTGCGGTTTGTTTTTGTTCAAAAAAAAAAAACCCACACTCCCCCTCCTCACTCTTCCCTCTCACACACGCGGACACACACATACACACACACACACCCACGGCTGACACACACGGATCCAAGCGTCGAAGGGAAAGCTGCGTCTTGTCTTCCAGGCTCACCACTAGTCCGGTCTCGGTTTCCCAGCAGCGCGGGAAAGCGGAGGCCAGAGCCGTGACCTCTGACCCCGTGGTTATGCGGAGCCGCCGCATTCCTTAGCCATCGCGGGGCTGCCGCTGCCACCGTGGGCGACTGACGCAGCGCGGGCGCGTGGAGCCGCCGCCCCTCCCCCACCGCCGCCCTCGCGCCGGGTCTCGCTCCAGCCGGTCCCGGTGCGCCCGCCCTCTCCGGCCGCACCCGAGTCCTCGCACGCGCCGCCGCCACGCGCCCCCCGCCGCTGCCGCCTCCACCCCAGCCCCGCGCCGCCACCGCCCCAACCCGCCCCGCCCGGAGGTCCCGCGTGGAGCCACCACCGCTGCCGCCGCGGAGGAGGAGGATGAAGGACAAACAGAAGAGGAAGAAGGAGCGCACGTGGGCCGAGGCCGCGCGCCTGGTGAGGCGAGCTGCCCGGGGGGCCGCAGCGGGGGTCTGGGGGGTGGGCTCCCGCGCGGCTCCCGGGGCGGGGGAGGGGCGAGGCCCTGCCCACCGCAGCAGGGGGCGGGACCGTCCGGGTGTGGAGCGCCGAAGGTCCCCGGGCCCGGTGGGCTGTGGCGCCTTTTTCTGCACACCCCCCTGAATTCCTTCGGAGGGGCGAGCTGGCCAGCGGCTCCTCCCCTCCGAGCGCCTGGGCTTGTCTCCCCTCCCCCACGTTGGCAGCGGCAGGGGGTCCCGGGAAGCGCCGTTTATTCATCTGCGCGAGTTAGGTTTCCGGGAAGGGTCGGAAGTGCTTCCTGACTACTTCGTGGGCAGTGGAGTGGGTCACTGGACTCCGCGGGGGTGGAAAGCGCCCCTGGTTTCAAGGACATGAGAAGCATTTAGAGCTTTGGCAATTTAAACCAGGTGTGTGTCGGGAAGCAATTGCTGAGGACCAATCTCATCCCTGAGCAGTGGTTCTCAAACTTGAGTGCCCAGTGGGAGTATACCTAGGGACTTTTTTTAAAACGCTGTTTCTAGCACTCATTTTAAGCACAGTGAACCCGAAATTCTGCTTAGAAACAGTACTTTAGTCAGCTGCTTAAGGGATTATTATGCAGGTGGCCCGTGGACATTCTAATCACACTGAATCGCTGTGACTGCACTAGAGGTAGGCACTTTGCAGAGGAATTATGTTCATACAGAGGTTCCTGTTGAGAGTTTAGCAAGAAAAAAAAAGTAAATTATTGATTGAGCTTGAACTAGCGGCCTGCCCAGAGGGTTTGTGAACTCTTGAGACCACTTCTTTTTGGTTATACAAAACCAAAAGACTTGAGGCATGTTCTTATAAAATATTGCTGATGACAATCCTAATGGGTTATATTTCTCCCGGAGATGTCACTTCCTCAGGCGTCACAGTGCAAGGTTATGGGTGCATCCTACTTGTCTGTTGACGCCCTGTATTTTATATGTAATTGTTATAATTCAGTTTTAATGATGGAGTGAAGCTCAGCTTTCTTATTGTCCCTTTTACTGAAAAGTGAGTTCTGCTTCAAAAGTGTCCGAGGTTGATAAAAATCTAGAGTGCAACCTTGTCTTTCTTGGACTCGTGAAAGCCAGTTATTGATTTAACCAGGCTGTTTCAGATACCAGAGAATTTCCACTTGTGTTTCTGATCATTTATCTTCTCTTGTTACCCAGGGAACAGAAACGGGGATTGTTTGTGTGAAGATTGTAGTTCGGTTTATTTTTTTGTCTGGCATATGAAAATTGAAGCTCCTTGGTGGTGGGGTTTTTTTTTAACCCCTTCTTTGATTCAATCAAAAACTAAAACATTTGGCTATTTTTTACCATCTTAGAACTTCAGGATTTCTTCAGCAATGCTTCACCTGGAGACAAATTTAGGCCTGGAGGAGCCTGAAATGAAGCGTGTTTTATATTACCGTGGAGGTTGTTGAGTATTGACTGTTCATTGAAATTCTGAGTTTCTGTGTGCAGGTGTTTATGACTCTGGGCACCCAAAGAAAATTTGCTTGCCAGAACCCTACTTGTAAATTCCTTGTTATTTATGTCCTGGTAATTCTAAAAATTTTCTCATCTCAAAGCTCCTTTGGTTCTTATTAGTTGGACAGCTCTAGAAATTTGGAATCTGCTTTATTTTAAGCCTCTTTAGGTTCTTAAATTTTCTGTGGTTTGAATTCCAAGGTTAAGGCCGCTATTTCTATTTTATCATTGGCTCACCTTCAAGCTCAGTTATCTTAAGTTATTTCTCTTTTTCTTCTTTGGCTCTTCAGTTAAAAATAGTAATCCGAACAGGAATTTCTTTTGCGGTGTAGTTGTACATTTGAAAGAGGGCTTGTGGGAACGTGGTATGCAATTTTGCATATCTTTTATGTAGTTTTGTGTTTTAGAATTTTCTGTGTCTTTGTGGGGGTGGGAGGGAGACTTGAGTCTTCTTCCCATTTAAAAAACGTCCTGTCATACTGTGTGCTGGGAGTTTATTAGCTTCTACTGCTTAGGGGATACCTGGCAGGCAGGGAGTGACAGTGGCAGGGCAGTTCATTCTGTAACAGGATTATTATTCTTAACTACTTTTGGACAGTTGGATTTAGTGTTTGTGTGACCACATGCATTTGTCAGGTGGAAGTTTCTAGTTGCACCTGGCCTCTCTCAGATTGGCAGGAAGATACTAATCTTATAAATTCTGTTTTGGTGTAGGAAAACTGAGAATTCTGGAGAATTCCAGTGGAGTAGCATAACCCTGCAGATTTTTCGTATTTATTTATTTTGCAGTTGTTAGTTTTAAGAAGTGGACATTCTTCTCTCAGATGTCTTACAGTGTGGTGGTGTAGTTAGTTTCTAGCTGGTCTGAAGTAGAGAGAGGAGGGGGGTAAGTTTGCCAGATTGTTAGGAACAGTTTGGGAGAAACAGCCAAGGGGATTTCCTTTTAAATTGTGTACAACTCTTAAATAGATTCCTATCTTGCTCTTATTCATGGGTGACGATTCTTAACATCAAACATTTTTTTTTTCCTTTTAAGTAGAAGAGATACTTTTTTCTTTCCTTCAAAAAGTGTTCATTCTATAGACTGGGAATAGAACACTGCTGGACTGTTCTGAAAACTAGTGATATATGCAATTTTAATGAAAATGAATACTTCGTATTTTTAGATGTAACTTTTCTTTAGAAATGTTCTTTCTTCTGTTTGAAGGTTCTCAAGCTTTTCCTCACTACTATTTAAATAGTTGGTAGATATTCTATCAGAGTCATATTTCTCTAAAAAAATGTGGGAAGATTTGCTTGCTGAGCTAGTTTCAAAGAGATGGTGTCTTGTGACAGTGGATATTAGTAGCGTGTATTGTTTTAAGTCAGCTTTGCCTCTTGGCACCTGGGTAATCTTAGACTATGAAGAGGAGGAGAGGGGCATTCAGAGGTATGAACAGAAGAACTACACATATACGTGTTACTGGAGATGCACAGATTTAAAGTGATATCCTGGTTTTTGCTTCTTGTTTAGGAATAAATATGATTAGTTCCTTGCTTCCCTTAAGTATCCTGGCTTGGAGCCGGGCGTTGGTGGCGCACGCCTTTAATCCCAGCACTTGGGAGGCAGAGGCAGGTGGATCTCTGTGAGTTCGAGACCAGCCTGGACTACCAAGCGAGTTCCAGGACAGCCTCCAAAGCCACAGAGAAACCCTGACTCGAAAAACCAAAAAAAAAAAAAAGAAGTATCCTGGCTTGGGAGATAATTACTTCTACTGTGAGACAGTTGGGAATACCATAAGAGAGATTGGAGTCTGCCTGGCATAGCTCAGGGACTGCTTCCAGAAGAGTACTTTCTGAGCTGGGTTTTGAGGGTTAGTAGAAGGTAGGGAGGCCAATAACAGAGGAGGCTGTACATGCAGGAGCTGATGAAAAGAGAATGGCCGTGGCAGGGGAGAAAAAATAGATAGATGTGACTATATTTGCAAAGAGTGCAACTGGGTGGAACAAAGAGTAATTGGTGGGACACACGTGTGCAGTGCCAGTGAGGTAGTCTTATGGGGAGACAGGCTGATGATTGGGAGCCTTGTGTGCCCAGCCTCTGAGCACCTGCAGCTCCCTACTTATGTTCTCTTTAATCTTACAAGTGACCCTGAGAGGATCTCCAAATACTTGAAGAGTGGAGAGGACCTTTGACTCAGGTTGGGCAGGTACTTGCTTCAGGTTAGAGACAAGAATTGAAATCTTTGCCTATTTGATTGTAAAGCATAGGCTGTATAGTGGGGGGTGGGCTGGGCTCTGGAAACATACTTCTGCTGCATGTGGAGAGACACAGAGTTATTGAAGATGATTTTGAAATAGAAACATGATGAAGGTAGACTATGGATCCCTAGAATCGGGCCTGGCACAAAGCAGGTATTCCCTGTGGTTTTAAGTGAGGGATAACCACGAAAAGGGGTATTTTAGGAAAACAGGGTCTTAACTACATGTTAAAGGGTATTATGGAAGAGGCTGTTAAGTTGCGTCATTGGATGTGATAATGAATCAGGTTGATGAGAGTGAAGGATGCCACATGTGTGTTGCTGAATTAGATTAGAAAGGTGTTTGTGCCAACCAAGGTAAGGAATATGGGGAGAAATGGTAGGGCTGAAGAGAGACTACAGTTGCTGAGACAATTAGAGTAGAACAAATTAAGAATGAACAGCTAGACTGATGAGTCATGCAGAGCTACTTGAATCTGAAGCTTGGGAGAGGTCAGGACTAGAGGGAGATAGGATCAGATTCATGAGAATCAGAAGCAGTGTTAGTAACTGACACGTTATCCAAGAGCAATGTAAAAATTGAGAGAGAGGCTGAGGAAGAATAGTTTTCTTTTCATGCTCACTTCTCCAAACCTTGATTTCCTTTAGTCTTCTGTAACCTTCCTTTGGAACTTTCACTTCGCTTTTTTGTTTTTTTGTTTGTTTTTTATTTGGGGTCTTATGAAGACAGGGAGAGCTTGAGTGTTACACTTGTTTCTTGGAGTGCCCGAAGCAGCTGCACAGGTGTAGAAAGTAAGATTATGATGTCTTTCTTTTCCTTTCTTGGAAGAGGAACATTCTGAAACAGCTCAACTTGTTAGAGTGAGAACTACAGTTACTGAGGAAGTGCTGACTTAGTTACAGATGAACTAACACAAGCAGAACATTTGGTTCCTCACGGTTTTGTTTTGTCAGTCACACATAGAACCATAGCATCGTGTTGTCACAGTGGCAAAATGTACTGGGCCAGTTAACTCCAGGGTTCCCTAGTGTGACAGAAAAGAACTGAAGATGGCCATGGCACACTCTTGTAATCCTAGCACTTCGAGAGGTAGAGACAATGGTGTCTAGAGTTCAGGCCATCCTTGACTGCATGGCAAGTTCAGAGCTACCCTAGCTTTTCTCACAACAAAACTGAACATACAATATAGCCCAGAATGGGGGTGTACACGAATTTAAGACTGGTCTAGTCTACATAGTGAGTTCTGTGCTAGCTAGGGCTGCATAGTAAGACTGTATCAAAAACAAAAACTGTATACACACACACACATAAACACACACACACAAAGAGAGACAGAGAGCAGCTAGTGTGAACAATAACCATCAGACTCCTAGACACTGTTTGACTAAATGAAGAAAAGAAAATGAATGTTATGTAGGGAGAAAATCAAGATGTTCAAAAGGAACTAAGATAGACTCTGATGGTGCTGCATGTGTGTGCGTGGGTGTGTACATGCATGACTGAGTGTGTGTGTGTGTGTGTGTGTGTGTACGCAGCCATATGAGTACTAGTCAAACAAAATTTTTTTTAAAGATAAGGTGTCGTTATGTAGCTTGGCTGGTCTTGACCTCAAGACTAGACTGACCTTGAACTCACAGACTTTGTCTGCTCCTGGGATTAAAGGCATGTGCAACCACACTTGTCCTGAAAGTTCCTTGGGAAAGAAAATTTGAATGAGTTTCCTTTTTTTTTTTTTTTTTTTTTTTTTTTTTTAGGTGGGGATTCTCTGTATAGCTCTGTAGACCAGGCTGGCCTCGAACTCACAGAGATCCACCTGTCTCTGCCTCCCAAGTGCTGGAACTAAAGATGTGCACACCACTGCCTGGCTTGAATTTCCATTTTATCATGTATTTTTCAGCCTTTTTTTTTTTGTTGCTGGTGGTAGTTTTTATTTTTTGAGACGGCCTCACAAGAGATCCACCTGGCCTTATGCGTGTTGGGATTAAAGGTGTGCACCTTAATGCTTGGTTACCAGAGCTGCAGGTCTTGCATACTGGTTATTACACATAGATGTTAAGAAAGCTATCCTTAGAACTGAAGATGAGAATGTTTCACCTAATTATGGTATTTGTAAATAAATGTATTTCACTTTCTATATACTGATAAGAGTGTGATTTCTGAAGTAATTGTTTTAATGCCATGCTGGGGATAGAACCCAGGGCCTTGCACTTCAGCCACTGAGCTACATCCCTAGCACCAAAGTCTTTTTGATTGTGGTAAATCTCATTTGGCACTGGCAGCTCCTCATAGCAGAACTGTCAGCCATGGTACAGACTGAATGTAATGGAAGTTTCACACTGAAGTCAGGATGTTTATGTTTCTTCAGGTGTTAGAAAACTACTCAGATGCTCCAATGACACCAAAACAGATTCTGCAGGTCATAGAGGCAGAAGGACTAAAGGAAATGAGGTTTGTATTGCTCTTGTTGCTTAAATGAGGGCTTCACATGACATGTATCTGATATGCAATATAAGTCCACCTGTTGGTCATCCATGCTTGTGTGTCTGATGGTAGAGTTGTGTGTCCTGAGTGAAGGGTGGGAGTGGAGTGGGTGAACATCCATGTATTTTCATTGGAAATACAGTGTCTTGCACAAGACCTCACCTAGATTTTGAACTACAGCTAGAGTTAGGTTCTTATTTTTCTTTAATAGACTCAGTTCAATTTTTTAAAGATAAGGTCTCACCATCCTGGTTTCTCATACACTATTTTAGTAATAGAGAAGGACCAAGCTCATATATGTTCTTTTCTCTATACTTTGCCACCACTGAAGGGTGGTCTCTGTGGCATAAAACCCTGTGGGTACTCAAAGATTTAGCCACTCTCTCGTTTTCTGAGATAGTCTCTTGTGGCCCAGGGCAGTTTCCAACTTACTACAAAGCTGATACTCATGTTTCTACCTCTTAAGTGCTGGGATTACAGGCACATACTATCAACAACTAGCTGATTTAGTCTTTGGTGATACAAATCTACTAATGATGAGGCTGGAAAGATGGCTCAATGATTAAGAGTACTGAGTGCTCTTCCAGTCAAACCCACATGGCAGCTCATAACTGTAATTCTTAATATCTGACACCCTCACTCAGACATATGTAGGCAAACACCAATGCACATAAAATATAATAAGTTATTTTTTAATGTATTAATGAGTAACCTAGAATTTGTTATAGTGTAGTTTTCCTGGAGAGATAACAAGTGTGAAATACAGAAGTAATTGGAGGCATGAAACCAGGGTTTATCTTTGATTCTCCTCTCTTCTCACCATTTATACCAACCCCTTCCTTTAAAAATCCTCCCTACCTCCCAGACAGGGTTTTTCAATGTAGCTCTGGCTGTCCTGGAACTTATCTATAGACCAGGCTGTTCTCAAACTTGGATTTTCCTGCCTCTGCCTCTTGAGTGCTCGTATTAAGGTGTGTGCCACCACTGCTTAACTAAAAATAATTTTTTAAATTGTTATTTGTGTGTTTTACCCAAGTGCATTGTGTGCATGCAGTGCCCATGGAGGCCAGAAGAGAGCTTTGGAACCACTGGAACTAGAGTTAACATGCAGATGTCAGCTGCCATGTGGGTGCTGGAAATTGAACGCAGATCCTCTAGAAGAGAAGCCAGTGCTCTTAACCACTGAGCCATCCTCCCATCCCCACCTCCCTGCCACTTTTTAATTTAAGTGAGGAAGGAGGAGTCTATATAACAGCAGTCCCATTTGGGTACTCTGAACAAGTAGCATTTTAATAATGGGGGATATTGCATATATGTTTATGTATGTGCAGATGCATGGTGTGTGTAGGCCAGAGGGCAACCTTTGGATGTCATTCTGCCTACCTTTTTGAAAAAAGGGGGTCTCTCACTGGGACCTACTGTTTGCAAATTAGTCTGCGCTGCTTTGCTACCAAGCCTGTATTTGTCTCTACAGCAGTGGGATTTTTAAGTTCCTGGCTACCACACCTGCATTTTTTTTTCTACATTTGGGTTTTGGGATATGAAATCTGATCTAGGTGCTTGCTTGTCAAGTATTTTATTGAATGAGCTTTTCTCCCCAGCCCTAGGCAGTTAGTATATTATGTGGCTAATCAAACTGTAGCCACTTGAAATGATAAAAGTTGTTCACTTTCCTCAAATCATATATTCTCTAATGTTTTGTGGGGAGGGATGCTTAGAGTTGCCTATAGCACCAAGCTATAGTCATCTGTTTGACTTATACTTATGAACTTTGCATTGTGATAATTGTGCTTTATTTTCATTTTCATGGGCTATTTCCCATCATGCTGATGTCTGCCCTGCTGTTGGATCACTATGCCTATAGAAGGTAAATTAGTCCCTTGTTTCTGCTTTTTGCTGTTCTAGGAATTATAGCATTCAGGACGAGTGAGACTCTCTGTCATTGTAGATAGGTATAGTGTGTAGGAGTCACAGAAGGACTTGCCAGCATGTTATGCCCCTTGTAGGAGATGCTAACACAGCCATATGATGTTCAAGATTCTGTACCAGCTTGCTTTTAGTGACTGCTTTTTGTTAAAGGTTATTTTTAGCATTCAGTGTGTTTCTTTTTTTTTAATGGCTTTTTTATACTCAGTTTATTTTTAACACTATGTAAATTAGGGCTGCTAGTTTTGAAAAATAAGGGCTTAAGATTTTTTTTAACATATTGAGGGAGAAAAAAACATACAGGTGAAGCCTAGTATTAACATTCTAGTCACAAATTTAATGGTAATAGGCATTTGTCTATTTTTGATACCTTTTTCTGTTTTACGATTTAGTCCTCTGTCTCATGAATTTGTCATTTTGTAGTGTACTGTTTTGGCAGGGACCGTGGAACTTAATATACTATCTAGTTGGATGTTTAAACATTACTTAACTAAATCTGTTTGATGGCCTTTTACTTTGTAAATGAAGTCTGTAGATGAGACTCATTCACTCTTTCATAACAAAGAAAAATCAAATACTGTGTTTCTTGTGTGCTTTTGTTAGAAAATATTCAAGTACCAAAATAAAGTATGAGCATATTATGGAGATATAGTGCTATTGATCATTTTTTTTTTCTGTTTTTTGAGACAGAGCTTCTCTGTGTAACAGTCCTGGAATTTACTTTGTAGGCTAGGCTGTCCTTGAACTCACTGAGATCCATTTGCCTCTGCTTCCTGAGTGCTGGGATTAGAGCCATGCACCACCACCGCCCAGTGAGTGCTATTTTCATACAGTTAGTGGCAGTATCTGAGTATGATATGTATATTACAGTGTAGATACTGGGAAACTTGTTTTTTATTCAAACAAAATGTTTATTACATTTTACTTTATGTGACTATTGGGAAGAGGTATGTAGAGTAAGAGAACAACCTAAAAGGAGTCGGTTCAGGTCTTTTACCATATAGGTCCTAGGGATAGTGACAGGAGCCTTTACCTGGTGAGCCATCTCCCTGATTAAAGACAGTTGTTGATTGTGTGTGTGCTCATGGAGGCCAAAAAAATAAAATGTCAGCTCTCCTAGAACTGGAGTTACTGACAGCTGATAATGGGTGCTGGAAACTGAACCCCAGTCCTAGGCAAGAACAGTAAGTATTGTTAACTGCGGAACCATCTCTCTGGTCCCAATAACCAAAATATTTACTTTTTTTTTAATTGATGGGGGAGGGTAGCTCTGTAATGTAGCTCTAGCTGCCCTGGAGCTCTGTTATGTAGACCAGGCTACATGCCTCTGCTTTTCATGTGCTGGAAGTAAAGGCATGCACCACTACACCTACCTGAAAACATTTATTTGCAATAGTAAAATTGTATTAAGTTTTATTTGTTTCTGTTTTTGAGCAGATTCTCATAATATTGCCCAGAGTGGTCTGGAATTGAGTATGTGGCCTAGGCTTTGTGGTAGGCCTCCTGTCTCCAATTCCTGAATGCTGGGGTTCAAGAACGAACCAGCATACCTGGATAAGATAAATGTGTTTTAAAATTTGTTAACATACAAGTTGGAAATTTTTCATTTTTAATTTATGTGAGTCTGCATGTATGCATGGCATGTATATGTGGGTATGCTCAGAGACCACTTGTATGTAGGTAGCCCTCAGGCCAGAAATGGGCATAGGATCCCCTGTAGCTAAGTTCTAACAGGTTGTGACCACCCAACATGCATACCTGAACTCTGGTCCACTTCAAAAGCAGTGAGCCTACTCTTTTTTTTTTCCCCCTTCAAAATAGGAGAACAGGTTTCTTTGTTGTGTAGACCAGGCTGGTCTTGAACTCAGAGATCCACCTGCTTCTACCTCCTGAGTGCTAGGATTAAAAAAAAAGTGTGTGCCACCAGGCCTGGCTTGAAGTAAATATTTTTAATTGCTGAACTCTCCAAATTTCTTGAGAATTCAGTTTGTATTGTTAGAAAACACTAAAGATATGCTTGTATGTACTCTTGAGTTACTATCCACTACAGGCTAGACTCTCTGAGTGGGATTTCTATGGGCTTTAGGTGCTTATTTTTTACTGCTTTGGAGTTGTTGGTTCTGCATTGCTTTGCTTCTTGGTTTGAAAATGACTTAATTAGAGGAACTTTGTGTTTGGTAAGTAGAAAATTATTTGTGATCCATTTCCATCCTTTTATGTTTTACAGTGGGACATCCCCTCTTGCGTGCCTCAATGCCATGCTACATTCCAATTCAAGAGGAGGAGAAGGGCTATTTTATAAATTGCCTGGCCGAATCAGCCTTTTCACACTCAAGGTAAAATTACCTTTTGATGCAGTGGTTCTCAAAACATTTTTTGTAATTTTTAAGACATGTTTTCTCTGGGTTAGCCTTGGCTGTCCTGGAACTTGCTCTGTAGACCAGGCTGACTTCAAACTCATAGAGATCTGCCTGCTCCTGCTTTCCCAGTGCTGGGATTAAAAGTGTGCTCTACCAACACCTGGCCGGTTCTTCAAACTTTTAATGTACATAAGAGAAACCTGGTGGGTTTGGAAGGGTGCTCATAGATTGTCTTTCCTACAATCCTTAATGATACTCTGAGATGATGTGGTGTGAATAGATGATTAGGAATCATTAAATTATTTCATCTGTTGTTTCTGTGTTCAGCTTTGCTTGTCTGTACCTTAGTAGGTTATATGCAACTGAAAGATAAGTATGTGTAGTGATAATTGAAAATGTGCCTTAGGGAGGATTTTGTTTGTAATAATATTGTGAAGGATAAATTACTAGGCAACTAATGTAATACCTATTCTATGAAAAGTAGCAATAATGTGAATATCAATATTTACTGAGTGACACTAATTACAAAGGAGGAGGAGTTCATAATAAATCTTAAATAATTGGGCTGAAATGAGCAAGCAATTGTTTTTCTGCCATTTCTGTTACATTTGGCTATCATTTACATTGCAATCTGAAAACTTGTATAAAGTGCTAATAATAGATAATTTAGATTTTTGTTGGCCTATGTCTCTGTCATGACTGTTCAGCTCCACCATAGTAGAAGGAAAGCAATCATGGACCATGCACAAACAAATTGAGGAGTCTATTTTCCAAATATTTATTTCTTTTGTTTTGAGACAGGGCCTTACTATGTAGCCTCATAGAGGTTGCTCGTTTCTGCCTTCCAAGTGCTGGGATTAAAGGTGTGTGTTACCATGCCTTGCAAAGTTCTACTTGTATTTTATGTAGGTTTGTTTGCCCACATATATGTGCATGCACCATGTTTGTCTGGTGCTGGCAGAGACCAGAAGAGGGCACTGGGACTGGAGTTACAGTTGGTGTCACCTGCCATATGGGTACCAGGAACCAAATCCCTGTCCTACAAAAGCTACAAGTGCTCTCAAGTTCTGAGCCATCTTTGCAGCCTATTTTCAGCTTATTTTATACAAAAATCAGGAGGTGGGCCAATTTTATTGTAGTAGACTTAGTTGAGTGACCCTATTTAGACATGAGACCATTTGGTGACTATAGGCAAACTAAAAATTTAATGCTGATCCTTTTAGTGCTCCATAATGGTTTTTTTGTTTTGTTTTGTTTTTTGGTTTTTCGAGACAGGGTTTCTCTGTATTGTTTTGGAGGCTGTCCTGGAATTCGCTATGTAGACCAGGCTGGCCTCGAACTCACAGAGATCCACTTGCCTCTGCCTCGCGAGTGCTGGGATTAAAGACGTGCACCACCAACACCGGGCCCATAATATATTTTAAAATGTATATATACAAACTTTGTTCCTATGAATTTGGTTTACTTGCTAAACAATTAATTAAAACATTTAAATATGTGAATAAATACAAATTATATAACTTGTTATTTCGGTAGGTTTGTATGTGTGAAATATTTGTTGAAGCAAGAGTTTGCTTTGTGCTCTGTCTCAAACTAAGAGTCTCCAAGGATCCTTCTTCAAGAGATCTTCACTGTTCAGCCTCCTAAATAGCCAGGCAGCTTTCTGTTTTGTTAGTTTTATGGGGCTGATGATTGATCCAAGACCTTCTATACTATGGTAGGTAGGCCATACCACTGAAGTGTTTGTCCATCTCCACTATTTTTCAAGTTTATTTTGTTCTGTTTTCTAAGTATTTATTACTAGCACTTTTGACTTTTTTGTCTTGCCTTTGTTTTATTTTTGAGAAAGATATATATATATAGATTTCTACACCTTGCTACTCCTGCCTATACTTTCTGAATGTTAGGATTATGGTCATCTACCATTTTGTTTGACTTGAACTTTTGTCTGTGTTCTGTCTGTTGCTTTGTTTGTTTGTTTTGTTTATGAATGAGTCAGGGTCTCATTATATAGTTCCTGCTGTGCTGGAACTTGATCTATAGACCAGGCTTGTCCCAAACTCATAGAGATCTGCCCATCTCTGCCAATGTTAAAGGCATATATGCTCCCATACAGCACACATGTTGAAGGTCAGAGGACTTTATAAAGTCAGGTTGCCTGGCTTGTGGCAAGCTTTTACCTACTGAGCAACCTTGTGGGTCCCTTGCTTTGATATATTTTTTTTTTTAGGACGGGGTCTGTGAAACCCAGGCCTGCCTTAGACGTGCGGGGACACAACGGTGTCAGCCTCTGATGTGCTGGGATTGCACAGGTGGACTACCATGTCTAGTTTCTTTTTTGCTTTGTGTTTTTGGCTAAGATAGAGGTCTCCCTGTGAATATAATTTAGAGGTATGACACTGGCTTAGTATGCTGAAGTATACAGACCTGTGTGTGCAAAAAAATAAAACTTCCTTTTTCTCTTTTTTTAATTTGAGTCAGTGTCTCAGTGTGTAGTTCTGACTGGCTTAAAACTCACTATGTAGACCAGGCTGGCTTTAAATTCAGAGATTTGTCTACTTCTGCCTCTATACCCAGCTGATCATTATTTTTTAACAAATTTAACTATTTTAGATCTGCCTCGGGCATATAGCTCATATCTTGTGATTTTGATAGAATTTCAGTTTGGATAATTACCTTATAATGTTTTTGACTTACTAAAGCAATACATGTAAATGTAACAGAAAATGCAACAAAGTAGGTAAAATTCTCCTTGTAACACAAACAATTGTTTATATCTATCTAGAAGCAGATGAGCTCCTCATGGTGATATGTGCCTGTAATCCTAGCACAGTGGAGGTTGAGATAGGAACCAGAGTTGGAGGTTATCTTTGACTCCATAGTAAGGCCAATCTGAGTCTGGGTTACATGAGACCCTGTTTCTTGTTAAACTCAGTTAGTAGAGTTTGTTGTTTTGGAGGTACATCTTTTTAAAAGAGTTTATTGTTGTGTTTTCTATTTCATAGAATATTCTTATTTTGAAGACAGTGTCTTTGTAGCCCAGACTGGCCTTGAATTAATTCTATTGCCCAAATTGGCATGGAACATGTGATCCTCCTGCTTTGCCTTACTATGCCCAGCCTTACAATGTTGCAAATAAGGAAAAATTAAGATAGAGAGATGGTTCAGTAATTAAGAACACTGACTGCTCTTGCAGAGGACCATGTTTGATTCTAAGCACCTTTGCAGTCCCTCACAACTTTCTGTAACTCTGGTTCCAGGGTTTCCAGTGCCTGTTTGTGACCTCTGTGGGCACCAAGCTCTCATGTGGTATACAGACATGTAGACAAAGCACACATAAAATGAGTAAATAATAATAAAACATTAAAAAGAAATAGAGGGCTACACTTATGTATACTTACAAAAAGGAACCTCTGGGGATCTGAGAACATAGCTCAGTAGGTAAGAAGAATTATTGTGCCGTCACGAGGCCCTGATTTCAAATCTCCAGCACTCATGTAAAAAGCTAGGTTCTGTGGAATAATCCTATTGTACACTGTCAAGATTTTGTCACTTGGATTGGTTTAATAAAAAGCTGATTGGCTGGTAGCCAGGCAGGAATTATAGATGGGACAACCAAACTAGGAGAATGATGGGAGAAGAAAGGTAGAGTCAGAGGAGACACTAGCCAGCCACTGAGGAAGCAGGTTGTGTAAGAAATGAGGTAACAAGCCATGAGCCATGTGGCAAAGCATAGATAAGAAATGTGGGCTAATTTAAATGTAAGAGTTAGATAGTATAGCCTGAGCTATCAGCCAAGCATTTAAAATTTATATTAACTCTCTGAGTTAGTTATTTGGGAAGCTGCTGCCACTTATTTGGGAACAGGAAAACTCCGCCTACAGCTAGGCATGACTGTGGACATCTGCTCATAACCCTAGCATTTTGTTGGGTTAGAGACAGGAAGATGGCTGGGACTTGTTGGCCTAGCCAGCCTAACTACAAGTTCCAGTGAGAAACTGGATCTCAAGGGAATGAGATGGAGAGTGATAGAGCCGATGTTCTCCTTTAGCCTCCTTGTGGGCACACCAGTGTATGTGCTTAGTGAGAAACTGGATCTCAAGGGAATGAGATGGAGAGTGATAGAGCCGATGTTCTCCTTTAGCCTCCTTGTGGGCACACCAGTGTATGTGCTTAGTGAGAAACTGGATCTCAAGGGAATGAGATGGAGAGTGATAGAGCCGATGTTCTCCTTTAGCCTCCTTGTGGGCACACCAGTGTATGTGCTTAGTGAGAAACTGGATCTCAAGGGAATGAGATGGAGAGTGAGAGAGCCGATGTTCTCCTTTAGCCTCCTTGTGGGCACACCAGTGTATGTGCTTAGTGAGAAACTGGATCTCAAGGGAATGAGATGGAGAGTGAGAGAGCCGATGTTCTCCTTTAGCCTCCTTGTGGGCACACCAGTGTATGTGCTTAGTGAGAAACTGGATCTCAAGGGAATGAGATGGAGAGTGATAGAGCCGATGTTCTCCTTTAGCCTCCTTGTGGGCACACCAGTGTATGTGCTTAGTGAGAAACTGGATCTCAAGGGAATGAGATGGAGAGTGAGAGAGCCGATGTTCTCCTTTAGCCTCCTTGTGGGCACACCAGTGTATGTGCCTAGGTCACACACAAGCATAGAAACAGTTAGCAATTTGGGATGGAGATACAATTCATGGTAGAGTGTTGGCCTAGAATGTATGACACTCAGTCGATCCCTATTAGGGCAAGCACAAGCAAAAGAAACAATTTTTATTAGAGGAAAGGGGGTAAATTAAAGGAGATAATTGATCCATTCTCTTACTGTTTGGTTTTGTTTTTGTTCTTTTAGACAGGGTTTCTCTGTGTAGCTCTGGCTGGTCCCAAGCTCTAGATTAGGTTGGCCTCGAACTCCTGCCTCTGTCTCCCAAGTGGCTGGGATTAAAGGAGTATGCCACCACCATCCAGCTTAATTGTTC